AGTGTGAGTGCCTCTCCATCTCATAGCAATAACCCAAGCACAACTATAAGCTACCATCTCCCCTAGGTACAAATGGCAGAATCAAATCAAGCAAACACCCATTGACTGCTATAGCTTTTTTAAATTGACATTTGATTGATGCGGGTTCTGCATCAATCTCCCATCCCAATGCTAACCACAGCCAACCCTGATTCTATCCCCAAACCAGCAAAGATCCGCTAAATGCTACCTCCTGCTGATATCTACGCACTGTCACTTATGCCCTAGTCACCTCTTCTTTAGATCTCTAACGTACCCTACAAGGGGCTACTCTTGAAGCTTCAGTTGGTGCAAAATGCAGCAACGCAGGCAGTTATGCGATTGGTTGCCAGTTTCCTTCCAGGTCCAATTCATGCTGGTGTTGACCTTTAAAACCCCTCATGGCATGAGGCCAGCTTATCTGAGGGAACACACCTCCCCAGTTACATCTGCCTGTCCCATCAGGTCTGGCAGAGAAGGCAGGCGTGCTGCGGGTCCTGTCTGCCAGGGAATTACATCTGGTGGGTCCCAGGAGAGGTTCCTTCTCTGCCTTGTGGAGTCTTCTCTCCCCAGAACTGAGATTAGCTTCATCTCCCTCAACATTCCACAAGTCCCTCAAGACCTGGCTATGTGATCAGGCCTGGGGGGCCCCAGGGAGATTTTGCGATGGCTCCCTTATTAACATTATCCCCTCCTTTTTTGTGCGCATTTATAGTTATTTTTACTTACAATTGTTTTTATGTATTTATTCTTTCTAATTGTTGTATGCCGCCCAGAAACACTCTTTTGTGAGATGGGCAGCTATACAAATACGATAAATAAATAAAAATATTCAGCCAAAGGGCACAACAGCATCACTTCTTCATCTGGATCCCTTTATTGGAGAAACGGAGGCTGCATCCTTCCGGGGCTTCAACAGAAAGTCCGGATCAATGCAACGATGGAACCAAGGAAGGCCATAAGGCAGCTAGCCCACGTGCCCTTCCAGGGAGTCAGGCAGGGCTCTTCCAGCTGCCGGGGCCCCGGATTCTGGGACTTGCACGGCAACTGCGGAGCCCAGCCACATCGTACTCACTTCCCACTTTCCCTGGGCTCTCTCGTCCAGTGGGGTGGAGGCAATTTTCACTTTACACCCGGAGGGAGCCGCACTCACTCCGGTTCCATCCCTGGAAAGCCGCTTCCGCGCTCCGACGCAATCCTCCGTCGGCACGACTGGAGTTCGTAGCAGGAGGACAGGAAGTAGGTGCCTGGCCTCTCTAGGAAGAAGCCGCCCGCCGCTGACGTTTCCGGGAAGCAAAGGCGGCACAGGGATGCATTGCGGGACGGAGACTCGGCGAGGGTGGGGGCCCTTTCCGGACGCGCAGCAGCAGTTCCCGTGTTGCTTCCCAGGAAGCGGTTTTCCTGATGCGGCTGGGCTCCGCAGTTAGCATACAATTCCCAGGCTGGATCCCGGGGGCTGGAAAGCGGGTGGGTCGTGCCTTCCCCATCGTACTAGAATTGCAGGGGGTGCTGGTTGGGCTCTTATGTTCCTGAAGATTGCAGCCTCCGCTTCTGCTCTCAAGGGATGCGGGCGGAGAAACGGGCATTTGTGGGATCTCAGAGGAGAGGGCAGTCCTGAGCAAAAGCATCCATTCTCTCTACAAGGCATGCTCCAGAGCTCAGGGTAGAGCCGTGTCCAGGGCAATCTAGGCACCTCAATCTCGGAGGAACTTGGTTTCCATGCTGAGAAAGTTCATTTGTGCTCAGATCTTTTAAGGATTCCCAGAGCAAGTTTTGTTTGCAGCAGGAGATTACATTCAGGAGAAAGTTATGAAGCTTTCTCCAGTCTGAAATGCCCTTTGATTAACATTAAATCTGGCTGAATGTTATTAGAAAAAATCGAAAGGGGCAAAGGTTTCTGGAAAAGATGATTGTATCAACCTCTTGAACTGCAATTCTCTCATACATTAATGCTCTTTTTCTTTTTGATCACAGATTGGGAGCTGGATGTATCTTGTTTTATCTGCAAACTTCCTGTTTCCATAGAAACAAGAACTTGTCATCAAAGAGAGCTCAGTGGTCTTTTTAGATTCCTCAGTGGACTCTTTCAGAAGTTCTGGTTCTATAGATGGAAGAAGGTTTGGAGTCCTGTTACCCATTGGGAGTTGTGGTTGAGCACAGATGGAAAATGGATGGAAAAACACCAGACTATGAGGGAACAGCAATACCCCCTCTCCTTCTTCCGGGGGAGGCCAGTCTGAAGGTCTGGGAAAGTTGCAGGAAGAAGACCCCAGATGAAGAAAAAATCAGCGTTGATGTTCAGCGACAAATATTTAGAGGATTCTGCTACCAGGAGGCCAAGGGCCCCCGAGAGATATGCAGCCAACTTCATTACTTTTGCTCTCAGTGGCTGCAGCCAGAAAGAAACTCAAAGTCTCAGATGCTGGACATGGTGATCCTGGAGCAACTCCTGGCCATCCTGCCCACAGAGATAAAGAACTGGGTCAAGGAATGTGGAGTGGAGACTAGTTCTCAGGCTGTGGCCCTGGCAGAAAGCTTCCTCCTGAGCCAGGTGGAGGAGAAGAGGCAGGAAGAAATGCAGGTCTGGTTGGTTCTGAGGGGGCGGTAATGAAATTCTTGAGGTTTCCATCCCCAACCCCTCCAAACCATTTTGCAGCTGGCCAGGTAATAGTTTTGACTCAGGCCAGCCTTAAATACAGGGATATTGCTCTTATTACCAGAGCTAGAAAGGGACTTATAAGCTTCTCAACCAGTCCTTTCTGGTATTATTCATATAAGGAAGAAGTATAACTTCTTCTCAAAGCAGTATACGTTGCCCTTTCTGAAAATTTCTCAAGAGTTGGGAGAAACCCAAGCTGCTCTGCACAGATGAACATGGAATAGAAGGCGAGGTGGGATGGAAGGTACAGGTGCGATTGTTCCCATTTCTGCTAATTCCTTCCTTTCTGATGTCTGCAGTTGCAAGTGAAGATGCCCTGTATTAATTTAGTCACTGAGCGCTCTGAAGCAAGAGGGGATCTGTTGAAATCTTCCCAGGATTCACTCTTTGGAAGGATCTCCCAAAAGGATGAAGTTCAGGACACACCACCAGGTAAGGAAGGATTCTTTCCAATGGCAAAAAGTTATCAAGAGTTCTCCAAACTGTTGTCCTTCATGAGCCTCTTTTACAACCAAACTTTGACCCTCTTAGCACAAATAGGATTTCTACCTAGTTTTCTCCAGAATGTATTGTATTAAGAATGCTTTGAAAAATGTCTGTTTCCTCCATCTTTGTCTTCCCCACAGAGAACAAAATGATACACCAGCTCCCACTGGGAAAACCAGCTCCTCTTTCAGCTCAGGTAGGAAGAAAATTTCTGCCACCCTCAAAACTGCATATGTGGTTTATTCAAGATGCATCTCCTCTACCCCCCAAAACTGAATTTATAATCCAGAATCAGTCCCTTTCCTGACCGAGAGCAAATCTGGTGGATGCAAGAAAGAGCTCAGGGTTAGGTAGATCCAGAACAATGTTGTTCTTTGTGCATTCAGTGGCATCGAATCCTGTGGAGATATTAATCAGCCTTTGTGAAGTTAATCACCTATCTCCAATGTGTTTTTGGCCAGTGCATGTGAGCTATGTCCATTTACTTCCTCAATTCTGAAACTTGCCAGAAAAATTTCTGTTTATTTCATTGCAAGTCTCTGCTTTGAGGATTTCTGAGAGATCTTGAAAGACTTTTCTCAGTCTGTCTCTTAATAAGGAACTTTTTATTCCTCTTTCAGGATTCCATATCCTTCAAGGAGGTGGTCATCTATTTCACCAAGGAGGAGTGGGCTCTGCTAGATCCCGATCAGAAAGCTCTCCATGAGGAAGTCATGTTGGAGACCTGTAGGAATGTGGCTTTTCTGAGTAAGAGTCCCTTTGCTCTCCATTCAAATAGTTGGGTTAGATGTTTTCTAGTTGGAAGAAATCCATTTAGTTTTAGCTGTCAGACCTTCAGGGTAGGCCAGATAAAGGAACAGACCCTGTGGGAATTTCACAAATGCTTCTTTATTGTTGCATAGCTAGTAACAGAAACTTGAAAGCCTGCCTAGTTTTTCTTTGTGCCATCTTTTACTAAACAAAGTTAAGACAGGGTTGTTTTGCATTCCTTTTTCACAGTTGCTTCAATCTCATGTAAGTAATCTCTAAATTCCTTCAGTACATATAATATCCAACTATATATGTCACATGCTGGGCTGAACAGAAGGTATTGCAGGGGTCTTGACATAGTGCCTGGAAGCTGCCAGAGTCTGGATGGACTAAAACAGGAGCACACGCAATTCAAACAAGAGAGAATTATGCCAGTCTAGAAATCAGCAAGTTCCAGATTGATTCAAAGTTTGGCTGCAAGTGGGGTTGTGCTCCCTCAAAATAGTAGAGTGGCCTGCAGTTTGAGGGTAGTGCTGGATTCATGCTTCCTGCTAAAAGAATGGTGGCCATGCACCAGGTAGGCATTTTCCCAGCTTTAGCTGGTGTGCCAGTTGCAGCCTTTCCTGGAAATGGGGGTGATGACAATTGTTGCTCATGCTATTGTCGTTTCTTAGTCAGATTACTACAACTCACTCTACATGCAGCTGCCCTTGAAGACCAACCAAAAGTCTTACGTTCAAACATGTTACGGGAGGCGCACTGGGCCCCAGTTTCTTTCTAGGTGCAATTCAAAGGTTTTGTTATAACATATAAGGCCCTGAACATGCCTCTAAGACTTCATTTCTTAGTCAAAAAGAAGTACTTCTATACACAACGCAAGGATAACTTGAAATATTTTGCCTTAGTTCATTCTTTTTCTCCCAAATAGGTAATGAGCGGAAGAATAAACAGGAAACAGAGATAGAGCCATTGCAAGTCATCAAGGTTGAAGTGGGAGAAGAGACATTTCAAAATCAGTGCCTGCCAAAAAATCAAGAGGGAATTCAATTAAATATTCAGAGGAGCAAAAATCCTTCTTCATGTCCTGAAATCTATGACTTCCTGACCCAAGAAGATATTAAAGCAGAAAGAAGGCGACAGTGTTTAGATTATGAGAAAATATTTGAAGATCAATCAGATTTAAGTAAACAATGTGAATGGAAAGACAGTGGAAAAAAATACAGCAGGATTTGCCCTCTTACTTTGCATCAACAAGATTGCATGGGAAAGAAACTGTTTAAATGCAAAGTATGTAGGAAAAGCTTCAGCAAGTACAGTAAAATTATTGCACATGAAAGAATCCACACAGGGGAGAAGCCATTTAAATGCATGGAATGTGGTAAGAGCTTTACTCAGAGTAGTCACCTTACTTCCCATAAAAGGATCCACACAGGGGAGAAGCCCTATAAATGCTTGGAATGTGGAAAGAGCTTTACTCAAAATAGTCACCTTACTTACCATAAAAGGCTTCACTCAGGAGAGAAACCATATAAATGCATGGAGTGTGGAAAGGACTTTGCTGATTCTAGTTCCCTTCTTGTGCATAAAAGGATCCACACTGGGGAGAAACCTTACACATGCATGGAATGTGGAAAGAACTTCACCCTGAGCAGTCACCTTACTTCTCATAAAAGGATCCACACAGGGGAAAAACCATTTCAGTGTACAGAATGTGGAAAGAGCTTTAGTACGAAGAGTTCTCTTAAATTTCATAAAAAGATCCACACAGGGGAAAGGCCATATAAGTGCATGGAATGTGGAAAAAGCTTCAAGCGGATTGCTGATCTAACTCGACATGATAGAACGCATAGAAAACAAGATCCATACAAATCCACTGGGTGTGGTAAAAGATTTCATAACAGCAGGTACCTTACTTCACATAAAAGGACCCCCAGAGGGGAAAAGCCAACTGAATGCAGGTAGTGTGGGGAAGAGCTTCCCATTGACTATGTTGACGAATTATGAGCCATGAAGTCTGTGTCAAGTCTTAGCAACCACAAAGGTGGATTTTCTCCATGACAGTCTGTCCTCAGGTATGGATATTAATCAACAACAAAGAATTCATGCAGAGGAAATACCATATAAATTCACTGAGTGTGGAAAAAAATTCGATGACAACATTTGTCTTACTTCCCATAAAAGAATCCACACAGGACAGAAACCTTTTAAATGGAATGTGGAAAGAGCTTCATTCAGAAGAGTAATTTTATTGCATATAGAAAAATCCAGAGAGGGGAGAATCCATATAAATGCAGGGAATGTGGAAAAAAGCTTCAGTATTAGATTACTTAGTATATATAAATAAAGGCAAAGAGGGCAGAAATCACACACATGTATGGAAAGTGGATAGAACTTTGTACATTGTAGTAACCTGATTTCCCATAAAAGGAACTGCATGGAAAACAAACTGTAAAGTGTGCAAAGTGCTTCAGGATGAACTTCAATTTTTTTTGTTGTTGTTCAGTCGTTAAGTTGTGTCCGACTCTTCGTGACCCCATGAACCATA